GAGAGCATGACCTGGCTTTATCAGGGCACAGGCGTGACCCCCGAGCTTGTCCTTGGGAGTGAAAGTCGACCGGAAACAGACCGCAGATGCTGTCTATCTCTACACGAAAGGAAATAGTCAGATTTGCAACATAATTAGCGGACCAGCCCTGCAACCTAGTAGTTAAGGGACCCAGATCCCACATGGCTGATTGTGGTTTGAATCCCAGCCCCGGAGGCTTGAGAACGCTCCAGGCAGATGTCCACGCAGGCTCCAAATCCGACAAGATGAAGAAGGAGGTGTGGCGTGAACACACCCCACTGGGGACTGCTTTTTCCCTCTCCCACTCTCTGTCTTGAAGACTGTCTCTGGCAAGTGCATGTACCCCCTGGAAGTTAAAAACAACAAAGAAATGCAATTATTAAACTGAATAAATATTCGATATTTCTACTGCCTATTTTGAAGGTAAATGATTACTAAATGACAAGGCACAGGCCATAGGAACTACACACCCCTTCATGTCATCATGATCTTTAGGCCCAGCGACCTTTTCTTCTTTCATGTGGCTTGCTCCTCGTTCAGTGCTTGGACAAAAATTAGGTACAGAATTAGCTTCACCTCGGCATGGTTTGAGACTTCAGATTTGAGGACCAAGGAGCTTCTACTTAAGAAAACAGAACCCTGAGAGTCCAGCAGCTGCTCCTGTCCAGATGCATCTGTCTATCCTGCTCATCTGGCAAGGGTTGTCACCCCATCCCCAGTCTGAGAAGCATCCCCCACTCTGCAGAAGCTCGCCCTTGGTGCAGAGCATAGGCTGGGGGCCTGGTACTCTTCATTTGCTGTTTAGAGGCTGAGATTTTTATCACAACAACCAGCGTCCTCATCTCAGCCTTATTCAACCCAAGACTTATGGGGGGCAGTGTTTCCCCCTCAAGGTCCAGAGGTCAGTGGGGAACTTAGTGATGCCAGAGGTGGGGGTAGGGAGTATTTGTGTCAGGAGTGAGGACGGTGCTGCTGGGTCACGAGATCACTGAGGGAGGGGATGCCCACGGGACCTGGGGTCAGGTGCCAAGAATCAGGCTGCTGGTCCTCATGCCCTGAGACCTAAACATCTAGGGACAGAGAGAGGAAGGAGATGAGAGGAAAACACCGCTGCTGCTTCACAGAGGCTCACTCCCCCAGGGCGAGTGCAGGCTCCACAGAAAAGGGCCCAGTTTGCCCCGAGAGCCTCCCAAGAACTATTTCTTTTCCATTTTTGCTTTTCTTTTTTTTTCTTTATTTAAATTTTTGTTAGGTTTTTACCATAGCATGCATGCACTTGCTGGAGAGAAGACAGTAAGAGGGGAAAAAAAGAAATCACACCCACCCTACCCCAGGGGTGTGCCATGCTGCAATCCCTTCTCCATTCCCCTCTCAGGATTCTGGGCACGCACACACATGCCCCCGCCCTGCAACCTAGTAGTTAAGGGACCCAGATCCCACATGGCTGATTGTGGTTTGAATCCCAGCCCCGGAGGCTTGAGAACGCTCCAGGCAGATGTCCACGCAGGCTCCAAATCCGACAAGATGAAGAAGGAGGTGTGGCGTGAACACACCCCACTGGGGACTGCTTTTTCCCTCTCCCACTCTCTGTCTTGAAGACTGTCTCTGGCAAGTGCATGTACCCCCTGGAAGTTAAAAACAACAAAGAAATGCAATTATTAAACTGAATAAATATTCGATATTTCTACTGCCTATTTTGAAGGTAAATGATTACTAAATGACAAGGCACAGGCCATAGGAACTACACACCCCTTCATGTCATCATGATCTTTAGGCCCAGCGACCTTTTCTTCTTTCATGTGGCTTGCTCCTCGTTCAGTGCTTGGACAAAAATTAGGTACAGAATTAGCTTCACCTCGGCATGGTTTGAGACTTCAGATTTGAGGACCAAGGAGCTTCTACTTAAGAAAACAGAACCCTGAGAGTCCAGCAGCTGCTCCTGTCCAGATGCATCTGTCTATCCTGCTCATCTGGCAAGGGTTGTCACCCCATCCCCAGTCTGAGAAGCATCCCCCACTCTGCAGAAGCTCGCCCTTGGTGCAGAGCATAGGCTGGGGGCCTGGTACTCTTCATTTGCTGTTTAGAGGCTGAGATTTTTATCACAACAACCAGCGTCCTCATCTCAGCCTTATTCAACCCAAGACTTATGGGGGGCAGTGTTTCCCCCTCAAGGTCCAGAGGTCAGTGGGGAACTTAGTGATGCCAGAGGTGGGGGTAGGGAGTATTTGTGTCAGGAGTGAGGACGGTGCTGCTGGGTCACGAGATCACTGAGGGAGGGGATGCCCACGGGACCTGGGGTCAGGTGCCAAGAATCAGGCTGCTGGTCCTCATGCCCTGAGACCTAAACATCTAGGGACAGAGAGAGGAAGGAGATGAGAGGAAAACACCGCTGCTGCTTCACAGAGGCTCACTCCCCCAGGGCGAGTGCAGGCTCCACAGAAAAGGGCCCAGGTTGCCCCGAGAGCCTCCCAAGAACTATTTCTTTTCCATTTTTGCTTTTCTTTTTTTTTCTTTATTTAAATTTTTGTTAGGTTTTTACCATAGCATGCATGCACTTGCTGGAGAGAAGACAGTAAGAGGGGAAAAAAAGAAATCACACCCACCCTACCCCAGGGGTGTGCCATGCTGCAATCCCTTCTCCATTCCCCTCTCAGGATTCTGGGCACGCACACACATGCCCCCGGCATGGTTTTCAAGCTGTTGGAACAGGGACTCAAACTGCAATCAGCCATGTGGGAATCCAGTGCCTCAACCACCATGCCACCCTCTGTGCCCAGAACAGTATTTCAAAGGAAGCCATGACCACCAGAACTGCCCAGCCGGTGTGACGGATGATTTGAGGAACTCTGGGTCCACACCAGGGGAGGAGGCTACCCGGAGGCCCGGCTGAGACCCGCATGTGGGAGGAGTTTCCCTCACAGTCCACCGAGGGTGCGGACGCAGAGGGCAGCCCCAGGCGGCAGCACCCCGCCAACGGGCACTCAGCGTCTCCAACCAGGAGAATAAGAGCGGAGGGAGCAAAGACAGGTTTCATTATTAAACAACTTTAATCCAAAGGCTGATTATTATTTGCAGTGTCGGAAGGCACAAAATATACCTAAAGTGTATGGAATAGTCTAAACAGAGTTATAAATTCAAAGAGCAAAGCATGAAAAAAAGATACATTCTGAGCTGACACAGAAATCTGAGTTGGGAGGAGATTTTTTTTTTGTTTTTTGTTTTTTGTTTTTTCCTAGAAAACTTGCTTAAATATCAATCATTTTTCCCCTCATGCCAAGGCTAGGAAATTCAAAAAGTAACATAAACGTGGTGAAAAATAATACCAGGTGTTAAGGGTTTTGTCTTTTCTAAGCAGAATACTTTTCCCTCCAAGATGCTGGCTCTCTCTCACGCACAAGCACACACACACTCACCCGCACACGGCCACGTGCACACAGCTCCACCTCGCGCCTCTCCGGACACTGTTCCAGGCAAAGCCGTCCAAGGAGTCCTCAGTGGCACCCTCAGAAGACAGGCCATTTGGGGAGAATAGACATGGAGTGAGATAAGGCAGTGAGACCAGAGTTTGATTAAAAAAATAGCTATATAGATAATATGAAAAACAAACCCTCAGGGCAGGGCCTGCGAACTGCTGATGGAAGAAAACAAAGCTGCTCTTTCCAGGGGGTGGTCACCTGCCAAGGCCCGGCCAGGCAGCCCGCTCCCGGCGCAGCCTGCTCCCGGCTCCACGTGCCTGACTGGGGAAAGGAGGACGGCTCGCCTCGGGAGCAGGAATAGCCCTTTCTCAGCACCCAGAGGTAAATGCGTAATTACGGACCTCTCTTCCCCAGGGTGCTCTGAGCTGACTGCGATGAGGCTGCTTCCTACGCTCAATCGTGTCACTCGGGACTTGGGGAGCAAAATCAATCCTGAGCTAGTTATCATATCCCAAGGAGCTGCAGGGACTAGAAGAGGCGACCAATAGGACATTGGACTTCTCCAGGACCACAGACCAGGCTCTCTGCTGAGGACCAGTGTCGACACGGGCAGTGGTGCCCGTCTAACCAGTCAGGAGACCTGTCACCTTTGTATGGGGGACTGGGCAGGAGGGCTCAGTTCCTCCCAGCCACTCCACTCCTGATGGTTCTTGCTCCCATCCTATGGTTTAGCTGCCCCAGCAAGGGCGACGAGGTGGGGGCTACTGGGGTATCCTAGCCTTAGGAACAGGGTTTCCCAGCAGGCTCAGCAGGTGAGGGACAGGCCTGGGGTGGAGAGGACAGAGGTGCTCAGCACAGAGAGGGCCTGAGCTGCGGGCTGGGTCTCAAGGACTGTGGGGAGAGGTGGCGTGCTGGGGCAGTGGGTGCGTGCTGGGGCTGGCCTGCTGGGACTTCCTGAAGGGTCTCAGACCTACAGACACCTCTTCACTCTCGGGGCACAGGCAAGTTCCCTGCAGACGGGCGCCACTTGCCTTCCTGTCACACACAGTCAGGCTTCTCTCTGCAGGAAGCAGGATCTCCCCTAGCTGAATGAGCATCCTTTTCTCTACTTCCAGCCATGCAGCCCACCCCCAAAGTGCTAGCCAGAGTCCTCTGAAACCACGGGCTTCTGCTCTGCACCTGCACACACACTCGCTCGCCTGGAACCACAGGCCGGAACCTAGGGGACAGCCTTGCTCTGCTGACCTGCCAGGCTCCCACTCACAGCCCACAGGACCATCCACGCCGCCCCACGCCTGCCTACCCCAGGCCAGCCACCTCCACCCAGCCTCTTGCAGCACTGACACTGTCCGTCTCTGCCCCGGCACTTGATTCTCTGATCAGCAACAGAAAGGAAAAGCGAAGGCTAACAGGATGGCACAACACGGCAGTACGGACGCCCCGAGACCCAAACACGCACCGCATAGCTTTTCCCGGCCCCGGACAGGCTGTGTCACAGTGGGGTGACCACCCGGTCCCCTGCTGTCCAGGACTACCACCTGGGTCTCAGGCTAACAGGAACGGTCAGTTGCCCCACAGCACAGTACCCGGTAGGCCAGCCAGTGCCAGCCAGACCGACTCTGTAGG